CTCTTCCTCAGCCGCCCACTCCTCTTCCTCCAACTGCTGCGTCTCCCTTCCTTGCCCCACTTTACAGCGTTTGGCCCTCCCCACCCCCAGGAGTGTTTTCCTGCGACTCCCAAACGGGCATTTTGTAGTGTTTTTTAAAGCTTTCGAACACGTCATTTGGGCGCTCCGGGAGAGTCGGAAAACACCTTCTCTCCTTCCCTTTCCATTTCACGCGGTCATTCCGCCTTTCCCTCAAGCTCCCCTCCCGTCCCCCGGTTACCTTTCCTAACACTTTTTAAACTTCTCCCTTTCAGACGGTTTTTAGGCTGGGACCGCAGGCATGGGAGAGGGCGAGCCTCGATGCCGTAACTAAAACATATCGCCCCTCGGTCATTACAATCCTAGCCTCCCAGAACGAGCAAGGGAGGGCAGGGAAGATGAGAACCGCACATGGCGAGAAGCCTCTGCCCCAGACACCGGGCAGCTCCCTACCGCTTTGGGGGCAAAGGCCCGGCCCGGCGAGCAACCGGTACAAAGGATGAAGCGCCGGCCACACCCTCTCACCACTGCGGGCACGAGCCTCTTGGACTCCGCCGCCTTGGCGCCGGTTGTATATTGTGCTTGAGAAGACTGACGGCTACCTTCGGCCAATCAGCAACTACAGGAGTCGGAGCACGCGGAGAAGGTGGGAAAGGGGCTCCTCCCTCTTCCTGCGGCTTCTTCGGGGAGTTGGCGGTTAATTGCGGAAGAACTGGGAGTGGCAAGGGAATGGAGCTGTGGGAAACGTTTGTTCCAACGGACGTGACAGCCAACCAATGCTTGTCAATGAAAGAAGGAGCCAATGGGAAGGGAGCTGTTATGTCACTTATCAAATGAAGTATAACTTGGTGTGAAACTAGTGGCACCCTTAGGACCAACAAAGTTTTATTCTGGGTATAAGCGTTCCTGTGGAGGCAAGCTTCTGGGGCACTTTCACACATGCAGTTTCAGTCCACTGGAGCAACCGTGGACTTTGCCATTTTACACATAATAGTTCCCTTCCCATTGGCTCCTTCTTGCCAGTAACCAGGGCTTTTTTGTAGAAAAAGCCCAGCAGGAACTCATTAGCATAATAGGTCACACCCAACAGCAGAAAGT